TTCATTGCATGGGTAAACTTGGTAGGAAATAATTGTAAGGCATCTTAATTTTCTTCCACCGTTGCTTGCAAGGACACTTTGTTGGGTCTCTGTTCCCTACCTCTGATGACAACTTGGGCTGTCCCATAGCTTTGTGGTCACCCTACATGTTGAAAATCAAGTCCATTCTAGCTTGAACTTCCACTTTTCTTCCAGTTCAAAGCATCTTCCCTTTGCCCTAATCAGTCTGGTGGAGGCTAAGGACCCAGCAGCAGCAGGGAGGGAGTATGATTTCCTCTGTTTGTTTTATTATTTAAACACTTAGGAAGATTCAGGAGATATATGATAGTTCCTGTTTGTCAGTATCTCTAATATATCTAAAATATATGTAATAAACAGTTTAGGAGACAAGTTTTATTGACATGAAACATTTAGGGAAATCAATTGTGCTAACATAGGTGAACTGGGAGTATTGTGGGGATTCAGAAAGGAAATTGTGTGGTAGAATAGTTGTGCTTGAAATGAAGAGTCCAAAGGACAGAGTGAGTGGCAACTGGCTCTGGTGCCAGCTCCTCTCAAATAAAGCTGTCCTTATGTTTTTCTGGAGTCTGGGTCTCAGAAGGGGTTTAAATAATTTTTTTGCTGGTGATTTGCAATGTAAGACTATATAGAATGTTAAAAAATCTTAAGAATAAGTAATAAAGTGTAATATTGTAGATGGCATTAATGAACTTGAAATTTACTTTGATAATATTGAAAAATAAAATATTTATCTCTTCTTAAAGGTCTCAGTGTTATTTGTGGGGAAATATTGTTTTACCTTTATTGAAGCACAAGTTAAAAGACACAGGACAGGAGGGACCACGATAGCTTGCTGTCATTCCCTCACCCTGTGTTGGATCTCAGAGGAGGGCATCTGCCTCTAGTCCCAGCTTTGGAAGTAGAAAAACTGTCTATCCAGTACTGAGGTTTTTGTTTCATTCTGTTAAAGTTGTATTTTTATTTTCATAGCGGGTAACTTTTACTTCCAAATTAGCAATACTTAACATTTGTTTTTGGATTGGTTAGCCTTATTTCTGCTCTTAAGTGAATTGATTCTATTACCCTTTTCATTTCATGCCATGTGTCTTAGTTCCTTGATTTCCTTTGTCCATTAACTTTCATGCCTTCTAATCTAGCACCTCTGTACTAAATCCCAGGGATTCCTGAAACTACCCTTCTCCAGCTCTAAACACTAATTTTTAAAAATCTTGAAATGTCCTTTAAAAACAGCCTTCTCTTTTTCCACCTTCCTTTCTCACGTGTGTTTATTACAGCTGCTTCTCTCCTGGGAACGTCAATTGATTGACTTCCCTACTCTCACAGTCATCTCTTGGTTTCACTTTTCTCCCCTTCTACTTTGGTTTCATGGCCGACCAGCCCACTCACTTTGCTAACACCCTTAAACCAGTGGTTCTCAAACTGTGGTCCAGGGATTTCTGGGGTTGATGGTTAAAACCCTTGAAGAGCTTGTTGAAATGAGAATAGAGTTCTGGCTCAGCCAGAAGGCATAGAAGAGAAGAATGTTTAAGGCTGGCAGGCAAAGGGAAGCTGGTGACAGAGACTGGGGAACAATCTGAGGAGGACCATCGCTGACATGGAGGTTGCTGCTTAGAGGTCAAGTGAAATTGTGCAAGTGTGATTTGGCCGCTAGGTCATCACTGACCATTGCCAGCGCATTTGGAGTGGTCAGTAGGCGTGGCATCAGACTAGTGGTTGGAAAAGTGAGTGGTGGCAGGTCGAAGTGTGTAAGAATCAGCTGTAAAGGAGCTGAGAGAGAACAGAAAGCCTGTTAGAATCACCAAGCCTCTGACAGTTTTTGGGGACTCTACCTGTATCTGCTTCAGCATCTCAGAATCAGGCTGTCAGGTTGGATGGCACCATCAGGCCTCTTGGGTTGCTGACTGCTTTAGCCTGGGCTTGCCTGGAACTAAAGGCCATTTCGTCCCACCTTGGCTCTCACGTCTATTACATTCTTCTACTCCACTTTTCTCCCATTCTCCTGTGTGACCTATGTGTCTTCTGTCTCTACACTCCATGTTTCACTCCTATTTGGTGAACTTGCTCCTATTTCACAGAGAGAATAGAAGCCATCACAAGAGAAATGCGTTTATGTTTCCATTGTACATCTACTTACCTACCTGCAACCGACCTCAAGTGTTCTGTCCTCTCCTGCTCTTCCTCCCCCGCCCTTCCTGCTTTGCTCCTGTGGGGTGTGTTTCCTCTCTCACCCCTCAACCTGAGCACATTGCTTCAGCTGCTCTCCCTTTTCTTTTCTGTATCAGTGATTTTTTTCTTTACTGTATTATTTCTGCAATCATCTGTAACTTTCCTCACTGAAAGTCCCCCTCGGCTTCACATCCCCCTTCCCACCTCCTTTGGGTCCCTTTCCCATAAGCCCCTGGGAACAGCTATCCCCTTGCACTTTGTTTCCAGTTCTTCTCTCTTGATCCATTTCAGTCAGGGTTTTGCTTCTACCACTCAAGAAAAACAGCTCTGTCAAGGTCACCGATAAGCTGCATGTTGCTAAATCCAGCTGTCAGCTCTCAGTGCTCATGTCAGCGGGCCTGCCAGCAGCAGCCGACATGTCGGTGCTTCCCTGGGCTTCCAGGACACCGCTGTCTCGTGTGCCTGCTGCCTGCTGATGTGCTCCTCTGAGCTTTGGCTGATCCTCCTGTCAAGTGGACTTCTAAAGATCTGAGCACCTCAGGGCTCTGTTCTCAGACTTCTCTGGCTGCACGCACTCCCTAGGATGGAGATCTCTTGTAGTCTCAGGGCTCTAAATATCTATCTGCCGATGACCCCCCAACCCACCCCCACCCCTTTAAAAACATTTCTAGCCTGGCTCCTTCCCTTGAACTGTATAGATTATTATATCCAACTGCCCATTCAACCTCTCCACCTGAATAAATACTATGTATTTCAAATTCAACAGTGAAGACTACTTATTTCCACCCCACAACTATTCTACTCATAATCTTCCCTGATTCAGGAAATGGCTGCTCTGTCTTTGCAATTTCTCAGATCAAGAACCTTGTGTTTATCCCTACAAGTCCTGTCAAGTGTTCTTTCAAAACCTGCTTGCAACTTGACACCTTTTTTTTGGAACTTGATGACTTCTTAACACCTCTACTTCACACAGGTCTAAGTGACCTCTCTCCTGGATGTTTGCCAGAAACTCCTACCTTGTCTCCTTGTCCCCGTCCAAGTTATTTTCCACATTGCAACTAGAGTGAGCCTTTTGCAATGTCAGATCATATTATTGTTCTGTTTAGAATCCTGCAGTGGATTCCCATCTCATTCAGGGTAAAAACCAACACTTTGCTATGTGTGAGAACCAACATGTCTACAGAATTCTGTGTGGCCTCACCTCACTCCTGTGCCCTGGTTGGCTGGGCACACTGGAGCCTTCCCCGCCTTCCCTGGCACTGCTGTTTCTCCTGCCTTGGGTGCTCTCCCTCGGGGTACCTGCTCTCACAGCTGTTCTCAGATGTCACCTTATTAGTGAGGTGTGCCCCCTCACCCCTCTGGCCCTCCCTATTCCACTAACCCTGTAAACATCACCTGACACTGTACATTTATTTATCATCTGTTTTCTTCTGTGACGTGAGCTCAATGAGGGCAGGGGCTTTCTTTTGTTCACTGTGTGCTCTCAGTTCTTGAAAGAGTGCCTGGTATGCAGTAAGCCCACATTAATGATCGCTGAGTGAATGAAATCCATTTAGCCTCTGCTATAAATACTAAGTCCTTGGACTGAATGATCTCCCTGTCTTTAACCGCATAATTCACGGTGTTTCTGCCGTCACTTTCTTTCCATTGCTCTCCCAGTCCTACTCAGACTTCCATTCCGTGGTAAACAGTTTTCCTCTGATCCTCATCATCTTAGAATATTCCCTCTGTTTACATTTCTTCACCAATAGCTGGTTCTCCTTTCTGACTCATCTCCCACCTCCAGTGGGTTTGGGAGGGGTGGTGAAGGCGCTGCTATTCTCGCGTCTGCTGGAGTCCCTGACAAGCCCGAGCAGCAGGCCGTCCCTGATGTTCCTGACTCTTCGCTCTTTTGGTCGCTGTCAGTATTGCCTGCTCTCACTCTCCCATGTGCTTTGGGAGACCTTGGTAACAGGCTTATTGTCTTCCTTTCCATTCATAGTTTGTTATTTCTAGATCACATTGTACAGTGGGTGTCCACCACCTAGATCTAAGACGGCTTTCAGTCATCTGGCTGCAACCCTTCTTCAGAAATCCACATGTAGGGTGCTCCCCGGCTGTCAGCACCTGGCATGGCTTCACTTGACAGTCTTCGTGCAGTTTTTGCCATGGTCCATATTTTTATTTCTAACATATCTGGTCTTTGGCGATAGTGAGGTCTCCTGCTCCTTGACCAATTCTTTTTCACCTGTCATCCTCTAGATCTGATAGAAATTAAATGGAATTTAATTTTAATTTAATGCTTTAAAAAGTTTCCTGTTCAACTGCTGTTTATTTTGATATGTGGTATATTTTTTGAATAATTTTCCCCCTTACACACTGATTTGTGATGCTTCTTGTATGTAAACCATATTATATACATTTTTATGTAATAGAATCTGTTTCATTGATCATCAAGTTTTGGTGCCAGCACACTCTTCTTTATTGAAGCTTTATGGTATTTTTAATATTTTGTGGTAGCCTCTCATTGACTTTATTTTTCAGAATTGTTGGTGATGGTCTTGTTTTTTACACTTCCACGTGATTTTGAAAACAATTTGGTAAAAGAATAATTTCCATTACACTTTATTTTTTCCCTGTAATGGTATTAAACAGGTTTAATTGAATAGTTCACATAAATTAATATTCTATCAAAACTCTAGTAGCAAAATATCTAAAATTTTTACCTTTTATAGATTTAATTATTTTTTACCATAAATATCAAAGGTGTATCTTCTGTAATTTAAAGAAAGATATGCAACAAACGTAAGTGATCTGTTTAATTTTTTTTCCAGATATGTTTCCTTCTCTTTGCCATTCTCTATGTTGCTTCCTACTTCATCATCACAAGATACAAGAGAAAATCAGGCAAGTAGCATCATTGTCGCAAGAACTTGGATGATCTTACCAAGTGGTCTGTGGTCTGTCTGCTCTGTGCCCATCAGTGTGGTGCCATGTTCACTGTGCTCGTGATTGGAGCAGGCAGTTGCCCTGCGACTAAGAGCACTAAAAATAACCTCTAGGGAATTTGTTTATCACCATTCTGTGTCCAGCCAAGAACAGTGTGGGGCTCTTCCGCATGTGGGCAGTCCCAGAATCCCTTAGGATATTTGGTTCCTTGTGACTGGCTCTGATGGAACATACCAAGACCTGATCCTGTCTCTGACTGCTAGAATATCTTTTTTTTTTTTTTTTAGCAATATAGAATTAGACTTCCCATAATACCATCAAGTATTCAATTACAAATAATGTTATCCTTTTATTATTTCATGTGTGTCCTTACCTAGCCGGATGGACCACTATGTTTTTAAAAAATGAACTTTGTGGTGATCAAGTCACAGTTTTTTGTGTCAGGGTTTTATAAGTACCTAGGCAGTTGCCTTACTGCCTCCTTTTAAATCTCAGCTATTTTCTAGAAATTGCAGGGTTTTCTACTTGTGATGTTGGCTAATAGGAGGTGCCATATGAATACTTAAGAATTCTTTATATTATGTTATCCTATTAAACTTACTAGACTTTTGAAGGCAGTTGGGAAGTAGTGCTTGCTCTAGTGCATTATTTTAGCACTGTTACTTGGCTCTGTGACTATACTGAAAGACTCCTTAGGTTCTTTAATCTCTCAGAGTCTTGAAAACCCACAGATCCAAGGTCACATCTTAGCTATTTTTAAAGATGGTTTGGTATCAGTTTTCATAGATTTATGGACACAGAAGGAGGGAGAGAGAGAAAATTAATAAATATATATGTATTGTTTTAAAGGAAATTAGGAGAAGATGAACAAGAAAAGTGGAGATTTATTAGCTGGTTTTTAGAATAATGGTGGGCGGGGTGATGAGGACCTGGTTGGTAGAGTGTGAGGAGTACAGCTGAAATGGGTATGAAGCTATCAAAACATTCTTCACGATTTGATGGTTGATTGGATATGGATATGACAGTGTAGAAGTTCATTTGACTGTTATTTTGTCATCTGTACAAGAGCTCTTTGGCTGTAAAGCTCTTTTGGGCAATCAGAAACTCAGAATGGAGACCAGATTAAGAATGGCCCAAATAAGCCATTGACACTGGAGCAGGTGTGTGCTCAGAATGCCAGAGACCTGCAGAGAGTGCCTTTGAGGACAGCCTGTTAGGTACTGAGCAGGAAGGGCCAGGGGTGTTGGGCATATTCTTGTAATTGGATCATAGTTTCTTTAGATGGTAAGTATGTGGGATGACAAAGGGGAGGGTTATCAGCCATGAGAGAGGGGAGGGGAGGGAAAGTGAGTGCTGGAGGAAGGGCCATTGGCTGTATAGAAAGGATACACAAAACTTGATGCATTTCTGTCTGTAATCTGAACGATGATTATGAAGTATGTCAGCAGTGGTATCCAAGGTGTTCCAGGATGGCCTCACAGAATCCTCATTATCACTGCTACTAATGACAAATCCAAATTATAGACAGTACATGAGTCCTGAGATTCTGAACTCTAATTTTACTGTAGAAAGTTTTGTTGGATATTACTAACCAGAAGATTTCATTCATTAGCAATTTCACTTGCACTGTATAACAATAAATTTCATAGTAGTCCTAAGGGTCTACTAAATTTTATTTTCTTGAGCACTAAATATTTGGTATATAGTAAATGGTAGTTTTGCTGATCAGGATTTTTGGTCAGCCACCACACCATATTCTCTGTGTCCCACCCCATCTAATTTAATGAGATTTAAATTTGGATCCATGTCGAAGTAAGCAGTGTGTTTTGAAAATCGTTGCTATTCAATAATTGCTTCAAATTTGTTTTTGTTTGTATTTTTTTATAATGACATATTTTATTGGAAGTTGAAAAATATTAATACCTTAAACATTTTTGCAGATGACCAAGAAGATGAAGATGCCATAGTCAACAGGATTTCGTATGTATTTTAAAGTTCAGTTGTTCTGTTTCTAATTCTGAAGTCATAAATTCTCAAAATTGAATTCTCACTTTTGGGCATAAATGTGGAAAAAACTCACCCCAAAGTATTAAAATATCATTATTAATATTAATCCTGTCCTCAGAAGCACATATAAGCAAAGATACATGGATAATTGAAGATTATCTCCTGTTAAAATTCACTTATTTAAGGAGCCAACAGATTTTATCTTCCGTGGATTTAAGCAGAAAATGGGTTTACCGTTGAGAACATTGGCCACAAGAAAGAAAACTGGTCTCTGAATAGTCTGCACAGGCTGGCCTCTTGGGGCAGGAGCAGATACCTGTTGTGACCCACTGAGTGCTGGCCTGTTGTGGGTGGGGTGTGGGCCCAGGCCGTGCCTTTACCAACCTGCTGCCGTGTTTCCTCAATTCATGAAGAGTGCATTCTCCTACACATCTACTGCACAGCCACCCAGATACTGAAACTGATAGTACTACTTGGGCCCCATTCGCATTTACAAGGTCCCAGCGATGCCCTTTGCAGCAGACGCGTCCAGTTTAGAATCACTACATTTTGGGTGTCCTGCACCTTACTTTCCTTCAGACTGAAATGCTCCTTCAGTAGTCCCCTGACTCTCTTGGCCTCGGTACTTTTGAAGATTACAGCCCAGTTGTTTGGGTCTGTTTCTTCATGATGAGTATCAGGTTATGCATCTTCGCAGAGAGGAGTGGGGAGAGGAGGTGAGGCAAGGGAGGAGGGAGAGACTGCATGTACTTACACACGCTTGCACATACATCGGGCTGTTACCCAGCCATGAAAAGCAGTGAAGTACTCACATCGAGGAGCCCCAGAGACGTACACTGAGTGAGAGAAGCCAGACACCAAAAGTAACATAGTGTCTGATTCCATAAGAAATACCCAGAAGAGGCATTCCATCAAAGGCAGGGGCTGAGAGAAGAGGAGAGTGGGGAGCAACTGCTTAATGGGCATGGACTTTTCTTTGGGGTGATGGAATGTTCTCGAACTGGGAAGAGGTAGTGGTTGCACAATACTGTGAGTACACTAGATGCCTCTGAATTGTTCACTTTAAAATGGCAATTTTATGTTGTGTGAATCTCACCTCCAAAAGAATTTCAAAGAACTAACAAATGACATGAGTCAAAACTGAAAAATGAATATAAATACACCCTAATGGACTAGATTAGGTAATTTATTTTAAATACTCTAGGGAAAACAAATGTAACTTCATTCAGGGAATTCTTGCTCTATGGGTTTAAAACTTAGGTCCATAACTTTATGACTTAAATTTACAGGATTAGGGACTAAGTTTTATTCCTAGCATCATGACATTTGTACAAATCTTGAGTCATCATTTTTCTCTGTCTAAATTACTGCTCCTGTAAAAACAGAATCATTTACTTACCTCAGAGAGCTTCCGTGACTCACCGACTAACGGGTGGATTCTAAGGCTTTTGACAGTGAAATCGTCTGGGTAGGAAGTACCCGTGAGATGTGTGCCTGTCCCTTTCTGTTTAGTCTGTGTCTCCTTTTGGTGGTAAATCTCACATGCATTTGTGGGTCAGTAATTTACAAATGGACAAGAGCATGTCACTTGGGCTTGAACATGCAGGGTTTTATGCGAACGGGCCTGTGCTGCTCCCGTGATGCTCGGGAGTCGCCCTACCTCCTTTACCTGTTCTCCTTTACCGTCTGCAGGGCTTTGGGCTCTCCCAGCACGTGGGCTCAGCACTGCAGTGATGCCCCCGAGAGCCCCTTCCTGCAGGTAGATGGGTGCGCGCAGGTAGTCTGGTGGAAGCTTGGAGGAGAGCCCGTGAGGGAGTGAGGTGACCTGGTGTGTCCCCTGAGCCCTGTCCCAGAGATCTCTCTCTGTGTTTCTCTGACTTTTTTCTTTGGTCCGGTGATGGAATGAGTGAGAACTGAAGAGTCAGGAAGACCTGGGTACAAAACTTGAACTCAAGTTTTGAGTCCAGAAGAGACAGAAATAAAGATGGGTTTTCTCTGTGCCTGAATGGGAGCTGCCACGTGCTCCGCAGTGCTGTTGGGCATGTGAAGTAGCACTTGCAGCAGAAATCAGGCTGTGGAATAAAGGCTGTGAGCCCAGGCTGTCTCCCTTCTTCCCTAGCCAGCTTGCCCGCCCTCTGCTGCTGAGAGGGCCCTGGGGGCACTGAAGAGGAGGATGGAAGGAGGCCCTGCGGAGATGGAGGGAGGAGTGGACAGAAGTCCTTAGAGCTCTCAAGCGCAGAGTGTGGACAGGTTCTTGCGTGGAGGCGGAGCCAGCACTGCTGGCCACTCACGGGAGGCTTCCCTGCAGCTGACCCAGCACGGAGTCCATGCCCACAGACCTCAGGAAACGGGTACATTGGTTGGCAAGGAGCAGGGTGCTTTCCTAGTTTCCTAGATTAAGCTTCCTACAAAACAGTTACTGATGAAAGGGAAAAGAGTCACTTCGGAGTGGAGAGCCCTGCAGACACCACATGATCAGTGGTCAGAGAGAACATGACCAGGCATGGGGCAGGCTGAAGTCCTGGGCCACCCTGGAGGCTGCAGGGGGAAGCAGGAAGCGTTGCTCTGCGATGTGCCTGCCTCCACACGCCGAAGACCGAGTTCCTTGTTTCCGCTGCAGTCCGTCGGCCCTCTCCGCCAGGGCCAATGCCAGCTCCACGGTTCCATCCTCGCATCCAGCCCTGGCCCCTCTCAGTCCTCTTCTGTCCCGCAGAAGATCCCGTTGCTTCTGTCCTCAGACTCTGCTCCCTTTCAGAAGGTGGCCTTTCTAGAGCCGCCCTTCAGTTCTGAGGGGCGCTTTTATGTAGTTGCATAAGCTATGACCACTGTCACCCTTTTCCGACTTGACTTACCGTGAGGACCCCTTGCCAGCATTTAATTCCATCACACCAGTCTTTTACGAATTGCTCTCCTTGCAGCTGCTCAGGATGGTTATGGAAGGTGGCATTATCTTTTTTTTGTATTTCCAGGGCCAAGCCTGACACCAAATTGCATCAAGTCCTAAAGGTTTCTTGTTGGCAGAGCCAGTGTTATGGTGACCATACACTCAGGATTTTCCAGATCACTTGTGAATTCAAACACTTGATCTGTTTGCCCTTGTGAGCATATCCCTTTGTCAGATTTCCAGTCTCAGTTTCTTCTTTGGGAACTGTGGTCGGACTTTACGCTGAATGTGTGGTCAGAGTGCCTTGAGTGCTGAGTGCAGAGGGCCTGGCTTCCCTGAGAAGAGTGGGAAGGAGGGCGCTGAGGGGCCCCGCTGCCCGTGTTGTGTGGGGCCTGGGGGAGAGAGCCTGCTGTGCCCAGGGGCACAGAGCACAAGCCATCGGCCTGCATGCGGGCCTCAGGGAGCTGGCAGGTGTGGCTGGGTGTGGGCTCCTGCCTGGCTACAGGGGTCAGGAGAGCTGGCAGGGCCTGGACGGTGAGGGGGACTCTGAGCTCAGTCCCTGGACGGTGAGGGGGTGGCTCTGAGCTCAGTCCCTGGACGGTGAGGGGGTGGCTCTGAGCTCAGTCCCTGGACGGTGAGGGGGTGGCTCTGAGCTCAGTCCCTGGACGGTGAGGGGGTGGCTCTGAGCTCAGTCCCTGGACGGTGAGGGGGTGGCTCTGAGCTCAGTCCCTGGACGGTGAGGGGGTGGCTCTGAGCTCAGTCCCTGGACGGTGAGGGGGTGGCTCTGAGCTCAGTCTCTGGACGGTGAGGGGGTGGCTCTGAGCTCAGTCCCTGGATGGTGAGGGGGTGGCTCTGAGCTCAGTCCCTGGACGGTGAGGGGGACTCTGAGCTCAGTCCCTGGACGGTGAGGGGGTGGCTCTGAGCTCAGTCTCTGGACGGTGAGGGGGTGGCTCTGAGCTCAGTCCCTGGATGGTGAGGGGGTGGCTCTGAGCTCAGTCCCTGGACGGTGAGGGGGACTCTGAGCTCAGTCCCTGGACGGTGAGGGGGTGGCTCTGAGCTCAGTCCCTGGACGGTGAGGGGGTGGCTCTGAGCTCAGTCCCTGGATGGTGAGGGGTGGCTCTGAGCTCAGTCCCTGGATGGTGAGGGGTGGCTGTGAGCTCAGTCTGAGTGTTGGGAGGAAGGGGTTGTGGCAGTCGGGATCACTTCCTTACCCACGGGGATGCGCCTGAGGAAGCTCGCTCAAGGTCTCTGGCTGTCACTCTGGAACTGACAGGGGGCAGCCTAGGACCATACCCGTCCTGGTGCTTTTCCCAGGAAAGAAGTCCATTCAGCACAAACCACACTGTAGGGCGTTCCCTGTCTCTGATCTGAATCGTATATCCGTATGTGTCTTACAGTTTGTCTCCCTTAAACTTCTCAGTGATTTGCTGGGCAGAGGTTTCTCGGTGGTTTGGCTTCTGAGTAGGAGAACACTTCTGCTTGTCGCCACAAGGTGGCCTCAAAGTTCCCCTAGCTGACGTGCATTCTGAGCATTTAGTGTATAGTTTTTTTCTCATGTTCTTACATTTATTTTCACATTTCTTCCTATATTAAATCTAATGGGATGGACATTAAATTAAGGGTCCATCTCTAAAATTAGTGAGCTTCCCTTTTCCTTTGCCATTCTAGTCACTTAAAAAATATTTTTCAAAGTAAAAATTCTTCAGACATGTGTAACTGAGAAAGTGAAGATCCCTTATTATCCCACTCTCTCATGGGATTGCTGTACATGATGCTAGATTTTTTTTTGGTACCTCTATTTTTGTGTGTGTATATATGCTTTTTTGGGGGATGTGGAGAGCAGGTTTTATTTATTGTCCTGCTTTGTTTCTTTTTTGACTTATTTTCAACATCTTTCTATATCAGTACAAATTACAGATACCTTATTTTTAAAAATGACGAGTGTTTTAAATACTGTTTAATAGTACAGTGTTCAATAGTTTCCTGCTGTTTACTAGTATAATCTGTTTAACCGTTACCCATTGGAAGAGGTAGCAGATCAATGGCTTTGTTTTTTCCCCTGAAATAACCATTTTAAATGAACTCGTCTTTCATACTGCTTCCATAAGTATTTTTTTCACCTGAAACAGTTGTTGGGTTGCTGTTAACATATATTGCCAAAGTTGCTAATTAAATGCAGTTGTGAAGTAAATACTTAAATTTAAAAGAGGAATGAGACTATAATTTTATTCTTTGTGAAATGTGTGAAGCACACTGTCTTCAGTATATGTATCTTGTAAGGGTCCACTCGTTAGATTTGATGATCTTTTCATAGAGTAAGGAATTTTGGGGTTCGTCTAGTCGAAGTTCTAGGATCACATGTATATTGTTTGTCTCCCAACTGTGCATACTTACTGAGATCCCTGCGCAGCTCTTTTTCAGCCTCGACGCCGCAGAGTGCGTGTGCTCCCTGAGGGCTCCCCTCCGCCCGCAGGCAGCGCCGCGCCTCTGATCTCTTGCAGGTTGTTCCTGAGCACGTTCGCGCTCGCGGTCTCAGCCGGGGCTGCCCTGCTTTTGCCCTTCTCCATAATCAGCAATGAGATCCTGCTCGCCTTTCCTCAGAGCTACTATATTCAGTGGCTGAATGGCTCCCTCATTCATGGTTAGTAAATATTGTTACTATAATCATAACTATTGATTTAATTTTTACTGCAGTATATTTTTGGATTTTTCTTTTTTATGTTTGTTTCATAATTTGCTACTTCAGTAAACCATTTGAGTCCTTAATGAAATCAGAAAACCAGATTTTACTTCCTATTCTTAGTTGTGAAAGGCTTTTAATCAAGAAGTAGTTTTTATACTTCCCATGATTTCGATAAATAAATATTCATTTAAATACTTAGCAAGAGAACCTTGGTTTATCTGGACATGTCAGAAGAACTTAACTTCCACTTAAGACATTAAAAAACTAGCCATAGTTCTATTTTATTTATTTGCTGTTAGTTTCTTCAGTCATTTCAAAATGTATGATAGAAGGGAGGGAAAGAACTTCTGTCAAGTACAAACTTTAAACTGAACATGGTTAAAAACAATGGCTTACTTATTACAGGCAATGTGATTTATTGCTTTGAAGCCAAATAGAGCTGCACTCCAGTCTTGACTCGATAAATACATCTTATGTTACATGATAAAGGGAATCAGAAAGGAAGAAAAAGTATTTGCTCAGTGTATGTGTATACACATACACATACTCATCCTAAACCAGCAAGGAACTACTCAGGGCGCTGCAGTCCTCATTCTGTAACTGGGCCCCTGAGCAGAGCTGGTGGTTCTAACACCTTCTTCTCGCACCTATTGTATGTCCTTTGCTTTACCTGGTGGGGTGATCCAGACCTTTCATTGCCGAGGGGTCTAGGCCACTTTTAGTCCTGCCTAGACTGCGTTGTAGTTTTCCATTGGCCTTCATCCCAGGGCATGGTACTACTAAGGGATGTGCTGTGTACCAGGCACACTCTGCCTTCCCTCCACTGTGAGCAGCAGTCCAATGTCCCCTTGGCAGTTTGAGTCAGTCACCCCAGCCAGCACAGGAACTTCCTTTCTTGATCATTAGTTCAGATGCACAAGGAGCCCCAGTGGCCAGTAACAGAATCATTGTGACTCCTGGTGAAAGCATCCCTCCCTTTGGAGCTAAAATCTCTAGGCTAAAGGTGCATAAGGTCACAGGAACAGGATGCAAAAAATTTTGCTAGTGTCTTATTAGGGCTAGTAGTGAGTGATACCATTCCCATTTCTACCCTTGAATTCCTGGACCTGTAAATCCTGGTTGTGGGAGAAACACCATCATATATTGGATGCAGATTCCAAGCATATACAACCTTCTGGAGAACCTTGCCCCACCTAGCCCTGCAAGGTATTGCCATCTAACTGGCACTGTAAATGAATCTTCAGAAGGCCATTCCCCCCTTTCCTCAGGCCAGCTGCTGCAGGTAAGGGAAACGTGGTAAGACAAGTGGGTTCCGTGGGTCCACCATAGCACTTTTTTTTGCTGTGAAGTGAGTTCTTTGACCAGAAGCAGTGTGGTGTGGTTGCCATGATGGTGGCTAAGGCATTCTGGAAGTCCAGAGGTGGGAGTTTTAGCAGGAGCATTGTATTCAGAGAAGGCAGATCTATCCAAATGGGTGTCTGTTTCAGTAAGAAAAGGATGCTGCTTCTTCCATGATGCGAGTGGTCTAGTGCAGTCAGTCTGCCGCCAGGGGGTTGGCTGATCGCCCTGGGAGCGGTACCATCCTGGGGTCTCCGTGTTGATCTCTCTTGCTGGCCAGTTAGGCACTAAATGGTGGCCATAGCCAGGTCAGCCTTGAGCGGAAGTCCATGTTGCTGAGCCCGTGTACACCTCCATCCCTCCGACCACTTTGTTCATGAGTCCTTGGGTGATGACTGGGGTGGCTGGGGCCAGAGGCTGACTGGGATCCACAGAACAAGTTACCCTGTCCCCTTGGTTATTAAACTCCTCCCTTTGGTGAGCAGTCATGTGGAGTACAAATAGGTTCACATTTTTGTACCATTCAGAGAGGTATTTCTGTGTACCTCTTGCCTGGATTTCCATGTTACCAGTTTTCCCGTTATGTTCCTTCCAAGTCTCTGCCCATCTAGCCAAACCACTGGCCACGGCTCTTTTCTCTTCCTCTGTCCCTCAGTATCAGCACAGTCCATGGATACATGGTCACGTGTCTGGCCATCTCCACTTCTGAGCAAGGTGGGCAGTCAGGTGTCCCAGGAGGACTCCCTCACCACTGCCCTTTGGAGGTGCCCAGAGAGGGGCTGAGGTGCTGTCGCTGTCCACTTCAGGGCAGTGTCTGCTGTGGGGCAGACCCATCTGCGAACCAGGCCCAAGTCTTCTCCTCCTCTGCCAGCTGATCATAGGGACTTGCCCTGAGGCCACAGATGCCTGTTGGGAGAGAGAAGGCAGGGTAGGAGGAGTGGGGACCACGAGCATTTGGGCCACCTCTTCTCTTAATATACTTGGGCCCAGCCACAAATACACCACTCCACTCGCAGTGGTATTGCTGTGTGTGCCCCAACTTCATGGCTTGATGGGTCAGACACACCCGTTTGTGGTGGGCAGCTCGGGTTGCATGGTGCCTTGGAGGCCCATGGTCAAGCATCCGGCCTCTGCTGAGGGGCAGCAGCAGGCTGAGAGCTGTTCTCCAAAGCGGAGTAGTGATTTGCAGAGGTGGCAGGGCTTTACTCCAAAGTCCCAAGGGCCTGTGCTGCGGTTCACCGGGAGGGGCTGCCAAAGGCTCCAGACAGCCTCCTTCCTGCACCAACACCTCTGGGGCCATCGGGTGTGCTGGGCCCTGCGGCCCAGCGACCACACAGTCTGCACAGCCGGGACCTGCTGCAGAGCCTGCCCCTGTTCCGGACGCCCTCTACATCGCAGCCCCTGAGTGGGCCAGAGGAGCATGCTCAGGTGAGGACATGCCTCCAAGACCCAGAGGCCCACTCGGTGCTGCGTCTCCGTTGGGTGTTAGAGGGGCCAGATGCAACAACTGAACCTTCACCTTAGAGGAGATACTCTCCACGTGCCCCATGCCCATGGACCCCTGGAAATTTCACTGAGGTGGAAGGCCCTTGAATTTTTCTTAGAATTATTTCCCATCCTCTGACAGGCAAACGTCTCACCAGTAAGCCTAGAGTAGTTACCACTTATTTCCCCCTAGATCCAGTCAGCAAAGCCTTAGCACAATAAGGGCCAGTGTGATACACTGTGGAAGAGAAAGGTGCTCAAGACCCCTGTGAACGACCTTGTGACGTGGGGATGGAGTGTTGGTGCCCCTGAGGGGGGACAGTGGTGATGTGTGGTTGGCCTTGCCCGCTGGAAGCACAGTGCTTCTGGTGGGCTCGTGGAGAGGGATGGCACAGGAGGCATTTATCACGCAGCAGCTGCTTGCCGGCTCCAAGGGTGTGTTACTCCCTCAAGCAGGGAGACCATGCCCGGCGCGGCAGCTGCATTTGGAGTCACCACCTGGTTAAGGTCGTGATCACCCAGTGCCCTTCTCCAGGACCCATTTGCTTTGGTGGCCTGGGGGTCACCAGCCCTGCATCTTCAGTCCCCTGTGGAGGAGCTGATCTCTGCACTCCTGGGAGAGATGCTGTATTCCTTCAGGTGTGCCCCCGTCCTAGAAGCGGGCAGCCCCAGTGTCCCCCACTTGGCCTTTCCCACCAGAGTGACCCTCACGCCTTAGATCAGCAAACACTTGTAGGGATTCTGCCAGCTGCTGAGTCTGTCTGTTCCAGTCGTGCATTCTGGAACTGGGGATATGACCACAAAACAGTTTGGGGACCCTCAGTTGAGATATGTGAGATGAGATAAACCCCCACTGACCATCTGCCCTCCATGCACCCCTCCTCTGAGTGGCGGACGACCGTGAGGTTTGGGTCTCCTGGAATTAGCATCAGTTCAGAGCCAGTGGTTGTCTCTGGAAAGTCTGATTATTTCCTGCACCCCAGGGTAGTTATGTCATCCATATTAATTTGCCAATCATGTACTGCCTTGTGATATTTGTGGGCTGTTCTTGAATTCTTACTTGTCTTTCTTGGTTAAGCCTTTTGTGAATTTATGCTATATTCTTTTGGAACTCAGAATAGTACTAAGTTCTCTAAATCGCCCATGGACCACCTGCTATAGTACTTAGACTCTGAAAATGTTCAGTAAAGATCTATTGAATAATAAAAGTTATTAATTGTAAGATTAGGAATACTTTGGTAAAGGTGAACTTAATTTGACAACCTTAATAAAGGATCATTAAATAAAGGAATTTAATGACATCCTACTAAATTGTCAGTATGGAAGTTTTTGATTGTGCCTTTAATATGTAAATTACATACAAATTAGAGGCTAAAATATGTGTTGATAATGCTTTAGTATGTGTAAATATATTTAGTTTGGCTTAAGTACAGTGTTTGGATTTGGGGCACATGGGTTTTACATGATAACCATATTACCTTGGATACCATTTTTCTCTGGGCCAGAATTTAGTAACATCAATAAATAAAATATTAACTTGAGCTCTAAATCTCTGTATCATGTAACAAGATGTAGCTCTGTCTACAATGAAGAGATAATTAAAATGGTTTGAAAAATGTAAGGTACGAAAATGATGAGCTGGAGCTGGAGTGAGGCTGGATGGTAGTGCCCCTCCTGGTCATGGACAGTCTTAGCCATTGGGTCACTTGTCACCCGGTTGCTGTGAGGCATGTCCCATCATTCACTCAGTGGGGGCCATGACATGTCAGCAACTAGTTTACTATGGGGTGGTACAAAGGGGGCAGAGATGACAAATTAAAATGTTAACTAAAATTTGGACTGTTACTTTCATTGTAATAATTAAAACAGGATGAAGGTAAAAAATGAACAGAGAAAAGAAAGTACCCATTTTTACTGACTTTGTGTCTTGTATACTGTTAAAAAATTAGTAGAAAAGTATGGAACTCTTCAGCTCCATATATTGAAAAACAGTGACACTGTTCAATGGGTTTTCCTTTGGGGTGAAGGAAATGTCCTGGAACTAGATAAAGGCACTGATTGTACAACATTGTGAGTGTGCTAAATGCCATCGAATCATTCACTTTAAAATGGCAATGTTATATAATGTGAGTTTA